CTAAAAACATCGAAAGTCCATTTAATAAACTGGTTGAAATATCTAAATTCATCATTGGACTCTGAAGACTTTTACTGACAATGTTTATCTCCTGTAAGACTGTATTCCAAACACACTAACTTATTACAAATTCAAAGCTACTTATTTCATTAATTAAAGAGTGCGTTTCACTAGTTATCTTAGCTTTGCTAGTATCAGCAATTTCATCCAAAGCTACGATAATTTTTTTCAGTTGAAATCTAATTGCTTTTATACTATTTGAACGACTTTCCCACCGAGTTTCTGACCACTTTTTTACAGCCCATCGATGACAGTGACTTGTAAATATGTTCCATCTTCCAGTAGATGCAGAAAACAAAGTGTAAAGTCTTTCAACTGTACCAAAAAAGTTTGCTGCTATTGTAGAACTTTTCGCGGTATCACCAACGACTAAATTTAATCTGTGTGTTGCAAGTAGCATAAATAATGCCCTTGGATTTTGGTTAAGAATACGTGCTTGAACTCCACTGTATTGACCTACCATATTGACTCCATTGTCGTACCCCTGTCCACGACAATCGGCTAAATCTATTTGATACTCTTTTAATTTTGATATTAGAATATCTGACAAATTCAATCCCGTAGTTGATTGAATATTAATAAAATCCATGAAATACTCATTGATTTCAACATCTGTAATTTCATTGTTTGAGCCCATATCTACAACTCCTATAATAATTGATAACTGCACTTCATGGCTTACATCAGGTGTACAATCCATAATAATAGCATAGTACTTAGTTGATTTTATCTTCATAATTTCTTTTTTTACTTCTGCGGCTATAGATTCGATTAGATTATTTTGTATTCTTGGTCCAAGGTAATGTACATGAGTTTCGTTCTTTGTTATACGTTTCAATTGTTTCAGAATAACAGGATCAAATTTACACAGCATTTTTATTAGCCCGAGATATTTATCATTATTATTAGTGTATAGCGTATCTGATGAACCTCTGAATGCATCATGGTGCTTTGCCAAGTAATGGATTACTGCAATTATTCGTTTAATAACGTCCTTCGAATGTTGTTTTTTTTTCAATAATCATTTGGTGATTATGGTCAACAGTTGCTTTTTTACAAATTCTTATTTTTAACTCTGACCAAGTATGTCCATTGTCAATATGTGATCGTGAGATTTCGTGTAAACTAAATTTTTCTGACAAATGTTCCCAATCATCTGTGCCTTCTGTGGCCAATGTGCTTATATTTGAGTTGGAATTTGAAAAAAGTTTACAACAAAAACAAAACACTTTATCGATTGAAACTGAATAAATTAACCATTTTCTATTCACAATTTCCCCATTAGATAATTTTTTATAGTAGTAATTATTTGAAAACTTTCTTTCTGTATCATCAATCAAGCGGAGTGGATAAACAATATCTTTCTTTCTTGATGGTCCGTACTTAACGATTTCGTACTTTACTTGTTGAGTAATTTTATCTGCACTCCACGTTGCTGGATCTTTTATATTAATTTCTTTTTTTTTTTGCTAGATACAACTAGTTTATCGTTATTAGAAAATAATACATATTTTTCGATTTTGTTGTCCTTCAATAATGTAGTGTCTTGCACTCTATCTTCCACACTATTATTTCGGTCTTTTGATGGTTATGAAATTTCTTTATATAAAGTTTCATTATCATTTACATTGGATGTTAATTCAACTTGTGTAGTCGTTGTAGAAGTTACATTATCAGCGGTAATGGTTGCATTGTCAGCAAAGGTAGTTGTGGTAATGGTTGATTTTACTGAATAGGTTGTCACAATATTTGTAGTGGTAGAAGTCGTTTTATTAGTGGCGATAGAGGGATTTTTGTTCAGGTATTGAAGAAAATTTCCTTTTTGTTTTTTTAAAAACTCTTCTTTTTCCTATTTTTTTAGTCTTTTCTGATATCCCGATGGATGAGAACGATATTTTCCCGATCACGACCACTCATATTTTTTATTTGACGAATTGATTTTTTTTTATTTCGCTAAAATAAATTAAATCAAGTTTTAGACCACAATATGATATATGAAATATCATTATTCAATAAAGTAGAAAAATTAAAAGCTGGATTAGTTTCAGGAATTATATTTAATTTTACACACCTCAACTTTATCATAAAATGATCTGTGTCATTGCGTTTTTATTTTTTAGATAACATAAATACAATATTAATTATTAAAGTTATCAGTTTGAGATCATTAGATTTTATGTTTACTTAATTTATTAAACATTATTGGTTAGTGCTATCAAAAAAATAAAAACTCACTACGCAGATAAAATTCTTCCCTAATTGTGATGGAAGTATGGTAATTCTACTATAAATACAAAGGGAGTATCGTAAGTTTTCAAGTGCAAAACAATTTTTGCTATGTAATACTTTAGTAATAGACAGAGAACGCACAATATGCTGATATAGCGTACTCTTAAACATACATCACATTTTACAATGTACTTTTTGCAATTATCGAAACTAATTATTTTTGTTAAGATTTGATGACGATACAAATAAATATAGGTGTTATTATATTTAAATAAAATGTAATAGGTACCTATGTATAAATAACATGATGTATAATAATATATGTTTTTTTTAAATCAATATTTGCTTCTATTCCAAAATCAATTAAAAATAAAATAATTATTGCCTACAGATTAACTGTAATGAACTAAAGCAAAATGCATACATTTTTTTTTTTTTTTTATTAATTGTTTAAGGCATCAACTACGAGGTTATTAGTAGGCGTTACATATTTACATTTATATTAATTTCTTACATACTATCTTAATTTCTACTCGTTATCTATATATTTACAAATTTATTTTAACTATATTACAAAAATTTAAATCAGTTGACGCAGTTCTGTTGAATTGACGAAATTGAAAAGTCTTTTGGTCGTCTCAGGAGTGGGTGCTAATATCTCGTATAGTGTCTCAGGAAGTTTTAGCTCAATGCGCCTTTCAATGAACTTTCGACATTCGGTAAGTATATGTTTGACGGTGACGATTGTTCCGCACGTCGGGCATTGTGGAGGGTCTTCTTTGGCCATGAGATATCCGTGAGTCATGCGAGTGTGGCCTATTCTTTAGCGGACAAGAATTACCTCGTCCCTTCTAGACATTTCAAATGGTTTGGGCCATGGTAGTATAGAGTGTTTAATTTCTCTTAGCTTCCCAGACAGCAAATGTAGATTATAATAATCTTATATTAATATTTGAAAAAAAATATCAATATTACAATAAAGTTAATTTTTGGTTTCATAAATCTTTTTTAATGTTGTGATAACATTGTGGACAAATTTTTTGGCCACATTATTCATGTTACTAAAATATTATTCCATAACATTTTATGAATGTTATAACAACATTAAGTTAATATTTTACAACTATAATAAATGTGTTGATAAACATCATTTGAATGTTTCCATAATGTTAAATTAATTAAAATGATATCATTATATTTATTTATTGTAATATTATTATAGGTTTATACACACATTATTATTGCATAAATGTTTTTTAATTTATAATTATAATAATATTACAATTAAGTATTCTTATACTTATATTAATAAATTTAGTTTTAGGTAAAAATATTCACTTTCCACGGGGTGCCGCTACTGGGTGACTTCCCCCTCCCGTCAATCAAATCTCATCTAATTTACTTGTAAATAACATGTAAATATTTTACATTTTGTTTCAAAAAAAGGTAAAATTATATAATCATGCACTACATAAGTATATAATATAGGTAATGCAGAATTATAAATTATAAAAAAAACAAGTTATTTTCTATGAATATAACAAATCAACTGCAGCATATATTATTATATGAATAAAAATATTTAAGCAAATTATTATTATATAAATAGGTCAAACCATCAAGCAATAAAAAATAAAATAAGATGACACTTTTTAAGATAATATTATTTTGTATAAATTTGAACTTATACTTTTTTACATTATAATAAAACAAAATGGACAATTGCCAATAACAATAAAAAAATTATTATTTAATACCTAACAAAGACAAAATAAATTTTACTGTATTATAGTAATACTAATATACTATACATTAATAATAACTAATAATAGTATTAATAAAAAGTTATTTATATAATATTTAAAAAAAAAGTAAATATAATATCTATTATTCAAAATCTGTATCTTCAAGCGATACTTTTTTTGATTTTTTGAGCAATCTGAATTTAGCATGTGACAACCAAGTAGCAATGCATTCGTCAATTTCTTTTTCAGGAGTTTGTTTGAACTTAGTATTGCTTCTTATAATATCTGAAATGTTCAACATGTATCATAATCATTAATTTTAATTGTTTAATTGATATTTTAGTATATATGTAATTAAATATTACCAAATATCAAACGATAGCATTTTAGTACTGAAAAAGATTCCTTTTTTTTGAATCCTAGTAAAGAGTATGTTTGCAATAAATCATCTTGAAACATTCTGCCTAAAATTCGTCTTATGCTGTTTCCTAGTGATCCACTTATCAACAAAGACAATTTAGAGACCTGAAATTATTTTGTAATAATTCATTTTGATTATTAGAATTAAAAAGGAATTAGTGCCAGTTACAATTCAGAATCAACTTTTTATGTGTAAATATCTGGGATTTAGGGATGAATAAAGTAGATTAATTTCTACTGAAAATAGTAGTAATGTTCATTTACTTTACTGTATTGCACTATGTATAAGACACAACAGAACTATTAAAAACTAGAGCTGACTTTCTAGTGACATTTTTTTATCGGACTCCTATTAGTTATCAACCCAAGCACACGTCATGTATAGTTACACACCACACATACACAAGGACATATCTAGTGTTGTATAGGCCTCATTCCCAAATCTATATACATTATATATATATATATGTATGTATATGTATATTATATTTAATAATAAAATGATGAACTTAGATAATTTAAAAAAAAAATATTAGAAGTATAAGTTAGCACAATAAATGTATTGTGTTCCAACATTTTGTATTGATGCCTGTATTGTTATTCTATTTTAGAGAAAACTCAAGCGATAGGCTTTTGTACACAGGTATAGATTAACAAGTTTAACACACTGTCTCAGGCGATTGACTTAGTATTGCCTAACCACCACTTGACAAAAACTAGTAGCTGCCTGAGGTTTCCCTTAAATTAGATACTCATGTGCTATGTTTTCTAATATTGTAGTGATTTAAAAATTAAATATACAATATATTATATATAATTACCAAAACACGACGAACATCTAAATTAGAAATAATTGTTTCAAAGTTTGTTAGCTCATCATGACATTTAATAGGAAAATATGAATCCATATCTATTAGTTATTACTGATATATTATCTTCATAGGATACAGTTGAGCGATGTTCAGGTACAGACATATGATTATCAATAATCTTCTCGACGTTTAAATGAATTGTTTGGGTTAATGTTTCCAAACCATCAATTCTATACTTCAAACTTGTTAATGTTTTAACTACATAACTTTTTAGTTCTACAAAAATAAAAATAGTAGGCATTGGTTTTTAATTAGAGAGATTTAATTACTTGTAATAATATATTAAATTAAGTACCTATTAGAAACCTAATAAAATCAAATTTAAATTTAAAAGTGTAAAACAAAAATTAATATTACAATTAATCAATTAATTATGTTATAATTCATTAAAATAAATAAAATATTAAATGTTCAATATTTAAAAATAATAGATTCAAATCTTTAAAACCTCCCAAAAAGTATTTATGAACTATTTAAAATAGAAGAGTATGGTATTGGCTCCAAAATAATAGTATGTACTTTCGAATAAAAATTAGAAAATTATTAAAACTAAAATAAAAATATTATATATACTTAATAGGTACCTTGTATATCTTTTTTAATTAAAGTTTCATTGTCTTCGGTATTTTTGTCATTAAAATCCAATATTTTGACATGTGATTGTGATAGATCTTCATGACATTTATCCTTGAGTAATGCACCAGATATTATAGGTAAATCATCTTTTTGTTTTTCAACAGACCATTTGCTACCAGAAAAATTAATTTCTTTTTCAAAAATCATATTAGTTTCGTCAAATGACCAATTCAAATTTTGACTCATAATAAAATCATCCAGTTGTTCAGGTTGTACTTCATTTTCTGAGTCTATAAAACAAATTATTATTATGTTATTATAATATGTGTGTAATTCAATTGTTATACTGTTATATAAGTTACATGCTAGAAAACATTTTTTTTTTACTTTTTTGCTGGTTTGAGCAATCTTCAATGACCCATACAGCATCATTTTCAGAATCACTAGAGTCTGAGTTAAATTTTGAAAATGTTACTTTATTTTTTTCTTTTGTGTTAATATATTGTGTTGATTCTTGATTTTCTAAAACATAAAATAGTTGCAAACAATGAAACAAGTAATAAATAATATTATGGACCTTATATAGTGAAAAGCTAATACCTGATATAAATATATCAATACTAATATAGTAGTCATGTTATTTCATATTAGTTACCTTTAATCAATGTGCTATTAAAATGTGGAGGAAAATCACTTGCAATTAATGAATTGTTTTTTGAACAGCCTGCAACTGGTAGTGTGATATTCATTTTTTGTTTTTTCTTAGGACTTTTTGTAGTTTTTTCATCGTCTTCAGCACTCGAGAGATCAGATTTATATAAAGCTTTAGGTATTTTTCCTCGGGCCTCTGACAAAGAATCTAAAAAAAAAATTTGGAATTTTAAAAACTAAAATATTCTTAAGTGTTTGAAAGAAATAATTCAAACCATAATCTTTATTTCCCAACTTTCTTGCAGAAAAAAATGTAAAATCTTTTTTATTTGGTTTTACTCTAGTTTCAATTGATTTGTTGATCAATTTAGTGTCTTTGGGCCAAGCACAAATGTTTTTTTTAAACCAAATATTAGGTACTGCTTCGACGGAATTGTCTTTGTAAAAATAAACTACGATCCATGTATTCATCTGGAAAAAAATGTAACAATAATAAATAAATAATGAACTTCATCTTTAATATGATAAAATTGTTACAATATAATATAATATATAAATTAAAATAATATACCTACCTATATATATCTATAGTTATAGGTAATTCCTTTTTTTATGCCTGAAGTAATATTCTTAATTAATATTTATTAATATTTATTTAATATTTAATTAAAATTAATTTTAATAGATACATTTATATTTAATCCTTGTTTGTATGGATAATTGGCATTGCTATTTTTTGATTATTATGTTCAATAATCATCATTTTTTTAACAATTCTAGAAATATGCCAACTTTTAATTGTGTCTGACATTTTATCGACATGGTAAATATTTAACATTGATGAATTTATTGGGTCATTGTATAGTGATGAAATAGTTTTAAAATACTTCCCAATAAGATAAACTTCACCCTTATCATAAATAATATTCAAACATTTAATAATTATCTCATTATCTGTTAAGGCAAAACAATCAGCATTTCCTTTGACTTTTATTTTCAAAGTTTTAAAAAATAATCTTTTATACTGAGATCCAGTACAATTTTCAATTAAAGGACCATCATAATGTTCTTGTTCAAGAATAGGATTTTCTGTATAATATAGATTTTTATTTTTATTAGATGAGTCATTAAAAATGTCTTCAATAGTTAGTGCATTTCTTTCAGAGTAACGATTGACAACTTGCTCAAGTGGTTTTTCATGCTTTCTTATTAATGATTTCAGTTCTTTCATGTAGTTTTCGAATTTGAAAGCACAACAATTATCAAGCGGACCAAATTGTTTATATGCATCAGATAAATGAATCAAACCATGAATATTATGAGATGAAAATTGTACTCCATAAATAATCTCAAATTGTTTTACAAAATAATCAAGTAATTGGTCTGCGTATTCTAATAACCCTCCACGATCTGGACTGAGTAATATATTCATAGAAATGCTAAGAGCCATAAAATGCACATAACACTTTTCATTTAAA